TTTCTTTTTTGATGGCATAGAATATAAGGAGTATATAAAATTTGTGTAATTTAAAGAACAATTATAAAGTGAAGCACACACACTCCCCCATGAAACCCACTTACTAAAATCTTTAAAAATCTTTATAATGTTTTTCATATAGTTTGGCAGTTTCTTATTACTGTGGCTATTCCATTTAGGTTTTGCTTTTTTATATACGTTCTCTTGGTTCTGTTTTGCTGATCTCTTCATTGAAGGAGGTTGTTTTTGTAGAATTATTACTTGGGGAAACTTGTCATTTTTTTTTTTCAGATTCATATAAGTCCTACTATGTTAGATACTGCCCTTAGCCATTGTGGTTACGGGAATGAGTGATGGGGGGTGAGGGGGAGGTTCACTAAGGGAACTGAGAACAAAGTAATAGTTGAATGTCTCTCCATCTAATGTTATAGATACAAGTTCAACTTAAGTACATTTTTGTTGGGAATATAAACATAGATAAGCACAAATAATATGTATACTGTAAATCCATCACCTACTGTTAATAGCTTTGGGGAATATCTTTCCAGGTATATACATAAACATTCACAGTTGCAAAATAGTTAGCGTGTGCCCATAACATACATACCATTTGTCAAGCTGCTTTTCACCTAATAGCATATATGACTGTTTTCCCAAATCAGTATATATTTATCTAAGGCTTACTTTTCATGGCTAAATGGTATTTAAAGAAACTATTTCTCTACTCACAACACTTCTGACACCAAACTTTGGGCTCTCTATACTAACTGCCAGTTCTTGAATTCTTTGGGATACCAATTGGGTGCCCAAGATTTTAATTCAGTTCTGATACTACTCAGTTTAGCACAGATTCCACAGGTTAAGGGCTCAGTCCCACAAGACTGTTCCCTGCTTCAGTACCAATACCATGTAGCAGGCCAGGTTACCCACACTCTGTGATTTGGCTACATATCAAGGTTACCATGACCCTCTCCTCAGGTTTAAATAATTTGCTATAATAGCTCATAGAACTCAAAGAAACACTTTACTTTTACCACTTTATTGTAAAAGAAATTATAAGGGATACAAATGAACAACCAGATGAAGAGGTACACATGGGGTAAGGTCTGAAAGAGTTTCTAACACAAGAGCCTCTGTCCTTTTAGAGTGGGAATGTGCTACCCTCCTGGCACATGGATACATTCACCAACCTGAAAGCTCTCCAGACCTAGTCATTTAGGGTTTTTATGGTGGTTTTGTTACATTGGCATGATTGAGTAAATCATTGGCCATTCATGATTAACTCAGTCTCCAGGCCCTTTCTCCTCCCCAGAGGAAAATTGTATCTGGTTGTCTTACCTTTTTTTTTTTTTTTTTCCTAAATATGCTAAACTTTTTTTTTACTTGCTTATTAATCATTTGTTTTTCTTTTTAAAATTTTCTGCTTTGTCTTTTTGGCATATTAATTGTTTTTAATTTGTAGTAGCTTCATATACAAAGGACAGTGACCCTGTGTTAAATATATTGCAAATACTTATTGTTTTGTTGTCCTTTAATTGATAGTAAAATTTTAAATTTCTCTTATCATAAGTTTCTGCCTTGTGTGTCATGCTTAAAATGCATTCTCCACTAATAGATTTTATAAACACCTTTATATTAATGTATTGGTGGAATCTCGTGTTCTTCACTCCCTCCTCACCCCCCTGCATTGATCTTCGCCATGTGTATACATTGGCAACCCCATCAGATAACATTGTAATTTTTCCTTAAACAATCATAAATATTTTAAAAGATTCAGAGAGGGAAAAGATTGTATTTTATATTTACCCAACTGTTTATCATTTCTGTAGTTTTTCTATCTGTCTTGATGTTCCAGGTTACCTTCTATTATGATATCCCATCAACCTAAAGGATTTTTTTTTTAAATAACTTCTAAAGGAAGTCTGTTGGCAGTGAATTCCTTTAGTTTTCCTTCACTTGAAAATGTCTTATGTTTTGCCTTCATTCATAAAGGATGTTTTCACTGGATATAGAATTATGAAAGGTTTTTTTCCTTCTCTAATATCTTTCTCTTTTCTATCTGGACCTCCAGTTACATGTTAGATCCACAGGTCCCTGAGATTCTGTGCATTTTATTGCAATGTTTTTCCCTTGCATCTTCAAATTGGATAATTTCTGTTGCTCTGTCATCAGATAAACTAAAATAACCGATAAACTGATTTTTTCCTCTGTCATCTCCATTCTGCTATTCAGCCCAGAGATTTCTTTGTTTCCATTACTATATTTTTCAGTCCTAAACTTTTCATTTGGTTCCTTTTTTGTGGTTTCAATTTCTCTGCTGAGAATTTCTGTCCTTTGATTCATCTAATTGTGTTTTCTGTTATTTCAGGGAGCATAATCAAAATTGCTGCTTTGAAGTTTTTGTCTGATAAAAGCAGCAGCAACTGGGTCATCTCAGAGGTGACATCTGTTGATTGTCTTTTCTCTTGAGAGTTGTTAGAGTTTTCTGATTCATTATATGTTGGGAAATTTGAGATTGTATACTGACTGTTATGTATGTTACATTGTGTAGACTCTGTGTCTTCTTAAAATCTTATTAAGGATGTTGATGGTGGCTGGGCATGGTGGCTCACACCGATAATCCCAGCACTTTGGGAGGCTGAGGTGAGAGAATTGCCTAAGCCCACAGGTTTGAGACCAGCCTGAGCAGCTTGGCAAGACCTCATCTCTACAATCAGAAAATTAGCCAGGCGTGCTGGCATGTGCCTGTAGGTTCCAGCTACTTGGAAGACTGAGGCGGAAGGATTGCCTGAGCCCAGCAAGTGGAGGCTGTGGTGGCCATGATCGTGCCACTGCACTCCAGCCTAGGTAACAGAGTGAAAACTCCAATTCAAAAAAAAAAAAAAAAGAATGTTGGTGTTTGGTGTTAGCAGGCAGTCAGCCCAATTGAGATCAGACCATAAGTTCTATCTCACAGTGTCTGGGCAGACAATGAGTGGGTCAAATCTTAGTTACATTTTCTAAGCCTTTGCTGTACTGTTTTGGGCCTCTCCTGCACATATATGGTTTAGGAATTAGTCTGAGACATTTTCCAAACTTCAGGTCAGTTCTTTAATTCTTTACTTATTGGTTTTGGTTTTTTTCATGTGTGTTTTATTCAAGGATCAATCCTGAGACTTGTGCTAGTGATTCAAATTTTAGTTCAGTTCTCTAAGCCTTTGCTATGTTGATCTGGGTCTAGCCTGAGCATGCATAGCTCAGGGAATAGGCTGAGACTTGTGAGTTCCTACATAGAATTAGGAGATCCTCTTTAACTCTCTCCTCTTCATATTTTTCCCATACTCTCCATTTTTTTCAAAATTGAAAATTGTTAGTTCCATCCAAATTCAGTCAGTCAGTGACTTAATAGATTATACTGACTACATATTAATAATAAGGCTAGCTGTATTTAAGAGACTGAAAGCTAAAAAATTTAATTTGGCTAAAATTTATTTGAATGTAGTGGATAAAGGGCACAGAAATATGAGTTATACTCGGGCCCTGCTGCTCTTGAATAATTTATAGTTTAATAAGGTGAACTATAATATAGTATGGTAAATAATATAATAGAATTATGTATGAACAGTAAACCTATTCACTAAAGCAAATATTTATTATGTACTGTGAGCCAGGCACTGCTCTGGACACTAAGAATATAGTAGTGAACAAAACAGGCATACAGAAATAAATTTTAAAAATCAGTTGAATTAGTCTATGGAGGAGTAGCTTAAGTATTGGAAAATCAACGGGAAAAAGTTATGGTGTAGGAATATTCTGATTAACTACATAGTTTTTAACGATAATCTGTAACTGAATGCTTCATTGCTTTATAATTCTGTTTGGCAGAATTATTAACACTATTTCAATTCTCTCCAGGTATCTAAAATGAAATGAACCTCAAGGTTAAATACTGAATTTGGTTTGGACCCAATCCATATTTACCCTGCATGATCAATAAAACTTCACATCTTAACAAAAGCAGCAGAGTACACAAATTAACTTTACAGTGATTTTTCAATAATCAATGTCCTGTTGTTAACACTTTATAAGCTTAATTTAATACCAACTTTAAAAATAAATTAAGTCAAGCTAGTCCCATTAGTGGGAGAAAAAAAAGAATGGTATCATTTAAATTTTAAATTAAAAAATCAAAATTATATATTCCTCTGAATATGTTAATTTCTTTTGAAGACTTTTTTGTCCTATCACAGTAACCCTTAGGGATCACTTTGGAGTTTCTACTTTGGGCATTTGCTTGAACATAAGGTTGATTTGAATGCCATTATTTATTTTTATTATGTTTTCAGGAAAAAAGAATAGGTAACATTTTAAAATTCTTTCCATTGATTCATCACAGAAATATTCATAATACTTCTGTACATAGTACACCTTTAAAATTGGGTGTACTAAATCAGAAGACATGGAATGAACTGGTGGCTTCGTATAAAGTGTGTGTTTCAACTATTTTTTACTGTATAATAGCCCATCCCAGAATTCAGTGACTTGAAGCCACAATCATTTATATGTATTTGCTTATGATTCTGCAATCTGGACTGGAACTATCTGACCAGTGCTTCTGCTGGTCTCTCCTGGGTCTCTCATGCAGCTGCTGTTGTCTGGAGGCTTTACTGGAGCAGGAGGGGTCAAAGTGCTGATCTCGGCTGGCGAGTCAGGACCAGCTGGGGTTGCTGAGCACTCTCCATGAGCTCGTTCACATTTCAGTAGTCCAGCATGGTCATTGCTCTAGTAAATCACATTGTTTGTTTGATTAGCCTTGTTACCTGTATTATGTTGTTTCTGTGGGGGGAGGTCAAATTATTTTTACTTAGAACATCTTTTCCAGGAAAAATAGTTTAAGAGTTATCTAGTCTTTGAAACTGTTTCTCATTTATCATGTCTTAAAAGACAATAATTAATTATTACATTATGTAATTCATTTAATAAGTATTTATATTCCCCTTTTTTTCCAAAAAAAAAAATAGGCAATTGCTGGCTACTTTGACATATACTTTGAGAAGAATTGCCACAACAGGGTAAGTATCATGTGTTGTCTCATAAGAAGTAATTATGCAGAAGCACATATATTTTATTTTTGTGCCCCCAAGGTGTTTAATCGTAAGCATTTGCTGTTGTAAGCAATTGGGGATTGTATTTGATGTAGTAGATTAATGTACCATGATATTAAAAATATTGTCCTTCATCATACATTTTTGAATTTTACCATGCAGGTCGTGTTCTCTACGGGCCCCCAGAGTCCCAAAACACACTGGAAACAAACAATATTTCTATTGGAAAAGCCATTTTCTGTTAAAGCAGGTGAGAAGGAATAGTAGAGGGTGAAGTATCTTGTTCATTCTAAAGTCAACATCATTCATTCATTTTACAACTACTTTTTATGTGCACGCTTTATTTGAAGCAGTATAACGTGCTAAGAAAAGATGTTCTTAGAGCTTACTATCTACATAAATTTTAGATGGCATATCATTTAATTAAAGACATTTAAGAAAATTTTTCACTTCAGTCTAATTTCTGCCAATTAAAATAAATAGGGAATATTATGTAGCTCTTAAAGTACCCCAAAATAATTGAGAAAACTTTTCCTTATGCAATAATTAGTATTTAACTAATTGCAACTATTACTAAAAGAAAATATATTCATTCCCCAAGTGACTAAAGAGAAATATCACCAATAGAAGTAAAATGTAAATTAATAAAAATGTCATTTATGTTATTGTATTCAAAATATATTTGTCCTGAATTCTCTCCACTGTCTCACCTAACTATTCAGTCTTACATAATGTCCAAGAGCTGGTCAGATTCTACATTTCTTTGTTTTAACCTCATTGATTGTTCACTTATATTAGCACCTCTAGTTCTTACATACCTATACATTTAGCTCCAAATGTTAGAATTTGACTATGAATTTTTTGTTTAAACTGTTATATCACATATAAGTCTTTTTGTTCCATCTTCACTGAAATCCTCCAGAGGGCAGGAAAGCTGAATGTATTATAATAAGCTTCCATGAAAACCATCATCACTAATAAATCAGGGAAAGGCCAACTGAAACCATGAGAGGCTGTTTCTCATCCATCAAGTTGAGGAAAAAACTCATGAAGTTTAATAATGCCAAGTGCTGGCAATGATGTAATCAGATGGAATGGTCATACTATTTTTCTAGTTGTTTTAATTAGTAAAACTTTAGAGAACTGTTTGATACCACCAAGTTCAGTATAGCTGAGGCATCCCTTCAACCAAGCAGTTTTTTTTTCCTTAGGCATGTGTTCTGAACAAGCTCTCCTGCAACATGCATACAAAAATCTCCACAATGGTATAGTTTGTAGAAGTGAAGAATTAGAAACAACCTTAATATTCATCAGCAGAAGATGGGTAAATAAATATGGTAGTTGCACAGAATAAAATCTCTAGAGTAAATAAGTTAGTATGTGTATGCCTATCAAAAGCACATTGAAGCTTTGTAGTGGGAGCTCCTGGGGAGGCTGAGGCAGGAGGATCCGTTGAGCCCAGGAGTTCAAGGCAGCAGTGAGCTATGATCAAGCCACTGTACTCCAGCCTGGGCAATAGGAGTGAGACCTCATCTCTAAAAATAGGGTGAGATTGACCAAAAAGAAAGCTGCAGGATGAGTCGTACAATACTACCACTACAATGAAGTTTAAAAACACGTAAAACAACCATACACACATGTATAATAAAAATATGAAGCAACATTTTAAGAATAATCATTAGATTCAGTAGTGGTTACCTCTGGGGAAGGATAGATAAAGGATTGGGGCTGATTCAGTGTCATATAAAAGAAAAGACATGTCAAAAAAAGAACTATTTATTTTAAAAATTGAAGGAACTGTGGCAGAATATTAAGATTTGCCAAAGGTGAGGGGTAGGCTCCAGGTGGTCATTGTATTAATCTCTGTATGTTTTAAATATTTCATAAGATTCTATTATGATTTTGATTTCAGTGTCAATGCATGATTTAAATTTAGCAGATGCAAATATACACCATAAGAGTGATGCAACAACTTGTTGTCAATTTCTCCCTTTGAAGTCACACACACTATGGAAATAAAACCTTGATAGTGTCATTTTCGGTATCTCCAGAAAACTTGAGCACAGCAAAACTGAAATGAGGCAAACAGAAATGAAGTCCTTTTGAACGCTCTTTTTGTTTGTTTGCTTTTGTGTTGCTCTGGTATTTGTATTGATGTTTGGAGACCTCGAAAATGCTGCTTTTTTTTTTCATTGTAAACATTTTGTTATCTTAATACTAGAATTTTTAAAGACAGACTAGTTCATATTTTAATTGTGATGGCGATTTAATATAGCATTTGATGATTCTCAAAATTTTTTCCTACCTAATTATAGTGAAATATTGATGACAAGTGAAATTTTGAATTCTGACTATTCTTAACCCAGTAATCCTTGGAGTGATTGGTTTGTGCCTTGCTCTTAGGCTTTTTTTAGAACATTGTAAAGGAGGTGTGTGACCAGAGTGTTGTCCTCTAGCACTGCCTATATTTACTGCCATGGTGCAAGCACTTGTATTTACATAGTAAGACTAATACATCACAAAATATTAGAATCTCCTAAAAGAGCACAACCTGAAGAAAAATGTAAAAAGGAAATTTCAAAATAAGAAAATTATGGTTATTTTTCAGCTTGTGGGAATATAAAGATTCATATAAGTAAATATAACCCTTTTTATAATCCTGCTAGGCCTTTGATGGTAATGTTAATAAGAGGTGCTAAAAGTTGCAGGGTAGAGTACTGAAGAGGACAAGCTAATCAGAAAAAGAGATCAAGAACTCTACATAGGAAGTCTCTTGAGTTTTACATGAGTACTAATGTGTATATGGAAGAAACAGATGAAAAGGCACAAGTTCGGGCAACGTAACTGAGGCATCTGTGTACTGAAAAATTCTCAGAGCTCACATGGGCTGCGAGGTATTCGTGTTTCAACCAGCTAGAGCACTGAGGTCTTTTAGACTATTTGGTCATGATTCCAGGAGGATCACGCCTTTGTAGTAAGAACAGACTATCCTTAGATTAAGACTTTCTAGATGTTCCTTAACAAAACTTAAAAACAAGCCTGGAAAGGAAAAAAACTGTATGTAACTTACTGGCAACAAAGGAAAACAATAAAACTCAGATATTCAACAGCATAAAATTCAATCAGACATTAAGTGCAGGAAAATATCAGTTGGTAGAAACAGATCCAGAAATGACAGAATTAGTAGACAAGCATGTTGAAACAAATATAAATGATAACTATATTTATACCAACATAGTGAGGAGAATATGAGAAGATATTTAAAATGCAAATGAAACGTCTAGAGATGGAAATTACAGCATCTGAAGTGAAAATGTCATTTGATAGAATTAACAGCAAAAGAAAAGATCAGTGAACTTGAAGATAGAGCGATAAAATATATCCAAAATGAAACAGAGAGAGAAAAAAAGATTTTTTTTAAAATGAGCACATTCACAGTAACCTGTGGGAAAATCTCAAGCACTCTATCTTAAACGTAATAGCAAGAACCCAGTTGACCTGAAATCCAAAAGAAGGCAGCAACACAGAGGAGTCCTCCCATTCTAGCCAGGTAGGTTGGGGGTGGATGTCCTAACGTTCAGAGAGTGGAGGAAATCCCCATTTACCTTTTCTGGTTTTTTTCTCTGTTCTCTCATGCCCCAGCTTTCAGATAATCCCATAGTGATGATGGCAATAATTGGTAGCAGAAGGGACCCACAGACACCAAAACTGAGGGACAGTAGGTAAATGAATGGATGTGGCTCTGTTTACAAAAACAGACAACCATCCTCTTAAAAACTTTCTGAAAAATAAATCTCAACATGCAGATTTCTTCACTGGCATTCTCCCAACCACTTAAAGAAGCAATAACATCAGTTCTACAGTCTCTTCCAAAAAATAGGAGAGATGGAAACTAATTTTATGAGGCCAATATTACCTTGATACCAAAACTCTAGAACAAGAAAATTAAACTATAGACCATTATCTCTCATGTATATAGATGCAAAAATTCTCAATATTAGCAAACTGTATCTAGCAATATACAAAAAATAATAGTATACCATGACCAAGTGGCATTATGTTTCAGAAACGTAAATCTGATTTAATATTTTAAAATTATACTATAATACAGTCCACCACATTAACAGCTTAAAGAAAGAAAACTGCATGATTATATCAGTGGACACAGGAAAAGCATCAAGAAAAATTAAAGTCTTTTTTAATAAATTTTTTTGTTTTGAAGATGTGGGGGTTAGGTATACAAATTCAGGGTTAGGTATACAAAATGTTCATTATGCAGGTACCCTTGTTGATGAGGTGTGCCTCCCCCCTTCCCTGGCAGTTTCCTACTCCTACCAATGAAAAATTAAAATCTTAGGAAAAAATTTTACAAAATGTATGCAAAGCCTGTATACGCAAAACTACAGAACTTTGCTGAGAAAAATTAAAGAAAACCGAAATAAATGGAAAGATATACTTTGTCTGTTGGAACAATACTGGTAAGGTGTTACTTCCTCCAAATTTATTTATTAATTCAGTGCAGTATCAATCAAACTCTCAGTTTTCTAGAAATTGATGGACTGACTCTAAAATTTATGGTAATCAAAAGCCTAGAATAGCCAAACAATTCTGAGAAAGAACCATATTGGAATCCTTACACTATGTTACTTCTAAGCTTACTAAAAGTTATATTAATCTAGACAGTGTAGTTTAGTGTATACTATAGGGAAGACATATAGATCAATATAACAGAAAATTCTGGCCCAGCGCAGTGGCTCATGCCTGTAATCCCAGCACTTTGGGAGGCCAAGGCCAGAGGATTGCCTGGGCCCAGGGGTTCGAGATCAGCCTGGGCAACTTGGCGAGACCTTGTCTCTACAGTAAATCAAGAAAAATTAGCCAGGCCTGGTAGCACATGCCTGTAGTTCCAGCTACTCAGAGGCTGAGACAGAAGGATCACCTTAGCCCAGGACATCGAGGCTGCAGTGGCCAAGACCGTTCCACTGCACTTCAACCTAAGCGACAGAATGAGACTCCAACTCAAAAAAAAAAAAAAAAAAACCAAATAGGGAATCCAGAAGTAGACCCACTCTTGTATACTTAACCAAATTTTTCCAAAGAGACAGTGTAATTCAATGGGGAAAGGATAGTCTTCAACAAATGGTGCTAGAACAAGTAAATATTCATTTGGGGGGAAAATGACTATCAATTCTTCTCACCATATGCAAAAACGAACATACATAAAAACTACGTGGATCATAGCAATGACCA